CACAAATGGGCTACCCTTTCTTTTCCTTTTCATAGGCAGATGCAGACAGGGAGACAGAGACTTTTTGCTTCAGATGCATATAAAGCTTTACAGCTTCACTTCCAAAAGGAGTCTTTTGGACTGTGCTTCCAAGTTCTAGGGCTTATTCCCTCCTCCCAGCAATTTGCCTTAAATAATTTGGGTACCAACTATTTAAAGTCCGCATGTGAAGCCCACTGAAGGGACAGAAAGATTTCCAGTGATCCATCTGTTTCCAATTATGCCCCTAACAAGACTCCTGCCTTTTCTTCCTTCTTGTTAAAGCTGGAAACGTTGTTAGATCTGTTGGGGTTCTGGATCATCTGCCACTGATTTCTGTGAACTTGGATCAACGCTCTTTGACTCAGTGTCCCTGTCTGCAAACAAGACCTTTATTAAGGGCAAGGTCTCTCCAGGGTACGCAACAGATGCTGAGCACCTGAGATAAGAGCTGCTACCTGGTAAACCCTTAACTGTAGCACCAGAGCTGAACCTGCAGATACGAAATACAGCTGAAAGTTCTGATTTCAGTGTCTTCCCACCTCCAGGTAAGAAAATGGAGCTCTTTTTGGGATAAACCCACCACATTTGGTCTTTTTAACCTTCAGTCTGGATAGCTGCAAAGAACAGAAGAATTTTATGCATAACATTTTAACTTGGCTTGATATTCTTCCCAGTAGTATGTAAATAAGCCGCCTGATTCAGAGCGCTCTATTCCTGACATATAACCCATTGCTCATTTAGCAGATTTAATTTTGCAGGCTTTGTGCATTTTTTATGTGACAATGAAGATGTGAGGCGACATGTCTTTATCACAGAAAGCCAACAGCAGAGACTCTTTTTTCACAAAAGCCCCTTATTGCTGCTTTTTCAGAGCAGAAGCCTGAGATGATTCTAGTACAGGGTGAGCCATATGTGACATCGGGCATAGTTTTACTTGCAAACTTTATAACTCTTAATCGCTGCTGTATTTCCTGGCACTCTCAAGTAATAATGTCAGTGGATATCAAATCTTAAGTACATAAGACTCAATTATGATCTTGCAGAACACAGAGGCTGCTCAAATCCAGTCCAGACTGTGAACTCACAATCTGCTGTTTACTTAAAGTATATAGAAAGCACTTGACCTCTTCTCAGTGGCATCCATGTGGAAACACTCGACAATAGAGGCCTTCCTTGGTTTTCTTAGGAATCGTGTTTCGACATTTTTATCTCCTCTAATTAAGGTCAACGGTCATACACTCCCACTTCTCTCCTCACCCCACTCTTCCAAAATTGCAGGCACTTTTCCAGCTCCAGTTACCCTTCATGAAACAAACTGGGCCCAATTTATGCATATGCAATTTCACGGGGAGGGGGTGAGGGGGAAATGAAGAGAGTCACAGAGATTTGAGGCTTTGCTGAACCAAATGCTGTGTCTGAGCTCTTGTGCTCACGTGCTCCTACACCGCGGCAAGCAGCAGAGTCTGATAGTCAGCAGCAAACAGGAGGCGGGGGGTAGGATTGCTGCAAATGTAATTCCACTACGAGAATATTTCCTAACCCACAGCACATGTTCCCACCCAGTGGGGAAGGTGTGAGCGAGCTCTGAAGGAGGACGGTGAGAGAGCGAATCTCATCTCCCTTTGCAACACTGTAAGTGCTAATTGCAGGCGGGGAGGAAGGGTGTAGCTGGTAGACGTCTGGGAGAAAGGCTGGGGAATATGGCACAAGGACTCGTGATGTCGTTGTCGAAGAAACCCAGGAGCGCTTCACATCCCAGCATCCCTGGGAAGATTCACTCCGACACTGCTGTGCTCTGACTCAAGCCCTGGCTGCCTCTTCTTGAAAACCCTCATCCTACTCAGCGGGGCACTTCCCAGGAATGCTAATGCCCCAGCCAAGGACACCTCCCAGCCCACCATCAAGGCTGAAAGAACACATCCCACTGAATTAGGGGCATATGGGGACTGGCTTTATCATTAGAAAATCCTTTTCAGAGCAGTATGCATCCCGCTTAGTAATTATCTTCTTTCTACTAAAAGATTATTTCTTTTAATTATTATTTATTATTGTGTGTGGTGCTAATAAAACCAAGATTGCGGGTTCAATCCCTGTATGGGCCATTCACTTAAGAGCTGGACTCGATTCATCTCGTGGGTCCCTTCAAAATCAGAATATTCTGTGAAATACAATGCAAGAGCTGTGTGAAATTTATATGAATTCAAATCTTCAGCTTTCAGACACTGTGCAACCAACGTGCTAGCACACATGGCATATAAGAGAACATGGGTTTAAAAGTAAGCTCCCATGTAATATCAAAATAAGCTATGTTAAGTAGATGGCAGCTATGAATGTTCCACAACGGAAGGGAGAGGTTTGTAAAATAAAACTTTGTGCTTTTAGAAGTCACCTTACATATGTAAAAACAAAATTGGGCCAGGCAGTGCAGACCTCGGTATTATTCAGGCTTGGGTTTGGTGCATTGCACCTTTTCCCTTCAGACTGACTTGCTCTCAATTCTCCCACAGAGCAGAGTATCGTTTCCAGAAGAGAGACAGTGCTCTCCTTTTTTTATATTAAAAAAAAAAAAAAGAATAAAAAAGAATAAAACCAACAGAGTTGTGCCCTAAGTGAGATTGTCTTGACCCTTTGCAAAGGCAGGTCTGCAAGCCAGATCCTCAGCGCCTCTGTCAGCGCATGCTTCCAGCATAACTCCTTTGCTCCTGCTGAGCTCAGCCATGGGCGCAGGATCAGGGCACCTGTTTTCTGTAGAGAAAAACTACCCCAAAACAGGATTTTATTTTTTCCCCTTCTATGCTGTTTTTGTAAGTAGCTGGAAATGTCTGTTTGCTTCTAAGGGCAGCCTGAGCTGTGGGTTCCTCATCCCAGTGGCGTGGGGACTGTGTCGGTAGTTTCCAGGTACCAGAGAGATGCGTCAGAGCAATCTGACAACCCTGAGAGATGGATTTGTCATGTAAAAGTAAGAAGTTATTAGCTCCCAAAATGTTCTCTTGGCAGGAGCAGGGCAGCCCATGCCACCACGATGAAGGGCCAGCACGGCCCTGCGAAAGGGTTTGTCACATACTGCAGAACAGTGCAATAAAACCCAAGGATTTTTATTCTTGAAAGAGCTCAGACACTCATGCCATGAGGAAGATTATGTTTAATTAAATATTGAACCCTTTTATATATCTGTACCCAGCTCTGAATCACACTCCCTTTCCTTACAACCAGAGGACATTCCCACATCTTCAAAGATTTTACAAATGAGGCTGGTTGAGTGTTTCGTTTCCCCTGGAACTAAAATTGAGCTACTTCGGAGCTGTAAAGTAGCAGCTCTTAAAAATCTTTCTATCAGAACAGAGGCCAGGAAGAGAAAAAATATACAGTATGACAGAAGTGAGCTACAAGGTGACTTTTTCATAGCATACAAACTAGACTATTATTTAGTACCTGTGCTTTGTTTTTATGTTGGAGGGTGGGTTACACCTCTTCGCAGTGAGTTCTGGAAGGGACCCTTGCACTTCAGTTAGTTACTCCTTGTTTGATTCCTGCAACACTTTCACAACCCTTTTTTGGGGAAGTTTTCATATTCCTGCCAAAATGTAGTCACTGGGGACTGCTTAGACATCCTCAGACCCCCCTTGGATTTAAGCACCATCTTTTTTGCGAGTATGCTGTGAGTTTTCTTCCTTGCTCGGATATGTGTTATCTTGCTCAATTGCATTTAATTTGCTATCAATTTGCATATTCTCGTCCTGGGCTGAATCCGTCAAGATTTTCCCATGACACATTTTGCCTCTGCTGTTCCCGTGACACATGTTCCTTCTGCTGTGGCAAGATCTACTCTGTGGATTCATCTTTTCTTTCGAAAAAAGCGTGGCTGTTTTCCCTAAGTTCAGGTTCTTGCCGTTAGGATTCTCTGAGCCTTCACAAAATCTGCGGTGATGTCAGTTCAGACACGATCTTTCTCAGTTCAGCAGGGATGAAACTCAAAATCCTTTCTCACTTCAGTCCTTCAGCAAAAGGTTGTGGTTTGTGCCTTGTCATCTGGTTTGCTGTTGGGTGTCCGGGGTTTTAAAGGTGTTTCTACATCCGTAAGGCTAAATTTTAAATACCAGTCAAAGGCTGGACACATTCCTACAGCACTGGGACTCCTTTTCAAAGAACACCTGTGGGTGAGTCACTTGAGCTGTCTGTGCCTCAGTTCTCCAGGTAGAACATGAGAAAGTAATATTAATGCCAGTCTAACTTCCTTCAGATACTGCCAGGCTCAGTGCACGACGAGGGGTGATGTTCTCAGGTATTACAGAAATAGGGGTCATAGGAGTTAGATGGAAAAGTAAAGCAGGAGCTAGTTAAGACTTTCTCAGCTGCAAAGGATTAGTGTTCATTTTAAAATCTCTGGCTCTTGACAAATTGGGAGAGTTACTAACATGCAGCTTAAAAAAAAAAAAATAAAAGCCAAACCAGCTGAAACGAGGGTGTTAGCAAGTCTGGCAGTGCAGCACAGTGCACCTTATCTCTATCCTGGTGGAAAATCAAAGGCACATTTCCAGCTGTGCCCGTGAGCACTATTTGGTCATTGAACAAAGCAACTGGCACCTCGTATCCAACCTATGGAATGATCACAGCCTGCTTCAGGTGCACAAACAAGTGCAGAAATGAGCTCCATGCACAGAACTCATTGTTATTCAATCAAGCCTTTAATTGTAAATGTTTTAAGCAAGGAATTGCTCTGTTTTATGAAAGTGTGCTCAGCATTACTCCGCTGCAGACATCTGTCATTCAGCAGGCGCCACCCAATAAAAGTGCTTAAAATGTTCTGTTCCTCAATTAAAATATAAACCAGAGCTGTTTAAGGGCTTTTACGAGGTGATTTCTATTTACCTGACAGATTTCCACACTGAAGGAGCACAAAGCAGGATTTCAGTTTCTGATCAGAAGCGATGGCTCTGCAAAATAGTAAAGCTTCAATGGTTAATCCTTTGTTTTTCTGGTTTTTTAACTTCAGGAATAGTAAAAATCTGTGAAGAAGAAAGAAATTCCTATGCCAGAGGAAAACTAGGAAGAATTAGTAAGGGCTGTTGCTGATAACACGTGCTGTGCTCCCCAAAAGGAGCCAGAATGCTTCATCCCTGGGCTTGTATACTCGAGGAACTGGGATGAACCTCTGGAGCCTGTGCCAGCACCTGCTGGCCTCTTCTTCCAAATTTCATCTGGCAAAAGCCAGGAAAAAGGGTGCTCTGCTTTAGTCTGAAATAGCCTTTTAAGAGAAATGAGACTATGGTTAGACAAAATCTCCCATTTCGCCCTGATGAAGCACCACATCAATGCTCCCACAGTTGTTCCATTGCAGATGGATGTCTCAGCTCCCATCCTGCCTTACTATGGCTCTAAACAAAGACCTTCTCTTTTCCTCTACTCAAGCAAGAGTAGAACTTATACTGAAAGCAAGTGTTTTAACAAAAAACCCCCCGAGACCTCTACTCCTGGTTCCAGAGCCTCAGAAACTCACCATAGGAGATGCCACTTGTCCATGGCACTGTGACCACTCCAAGCACATCTACTCAGGGTTGAAAAAGCCAGAGATTCCACATTAGAGATGCCACCTTTTGCAGTGCCACTGCTGCTGCAGCAGCAATGACGAAAGGCTCGCTGTGCACCCGTGTGTTGCCTCACCAGGATTTCCCTGTTACTCACCTGCAGCTTTACTTACCTGTACCCTGTCCTTCTCTGGTACATCTCCTTGCAAAACCACACTTGGGAAGCCACTGCCAGCTCACTTGGGAAACTGGCAAGCAGGGGAACGCTGGCCTGATCCATCCTCAGCTTGAAAGCTGCAGAAAAGGCTTTGCTTTGTGTTATACTTTGTACAGTGTGCTGATCCCTGGTCTCCTGTGCTCCATCCTCTGGCAGGTCATCACTTCAGGCAGCACCAGGACATAGAAGGATGGCAGTGTCAAGATGAGAGGGCTGCACCCTTGCAGGACAAAGCTTTCAACACTGAACCTTAAACCTTCTGGTTTTGCCAGGTAACGATAATTTTTGGACCAATTCGCACGTCCTTTGTGGCCTTTAAGCCACTGTGTCATTCTTCATCACACCGGGGTCACAGCTGGTCTCTGACAGTGCAGGAAAGCCAAGGATGGAGCCTGTGGGGAGGGAAGGTGGGTGGGTTTGCCCCACTCCCCTCCAAAGCTGGGTGCCACCCTGCTCCCTTCTGCTTTTGGGTGCCTGCAGCTCCTCAGACCCTCACAACAAGACAAACTGGGATCCCACACCACACCAACCTACCCCAGGAAACGCAGCCTTCTCCCAGGAGTTTCAGGTATCCAGTGTTCATCCTGCCATGCCTTGCTGAAGGAACAAAACTGCTTGTGCCGGAGGTAAAAATACTTGCTGATGCTAAACCTCGAGCTGGTGAGTCTCTGCTGAGCTGCATCATCATAGTCTTCCAGGAGAAATTTTAATTCCCTTTTAAAATTAAAGAGAGGAAAAGCAAACAGCAACTAAATCCAAGAACAGGTAGACAACCAGCTCCCGGATTTTGCACTGCAGGTATCAGGAGGCTTTCTGCCTTGAACCACGCTGCTTGGAAATGCTGTGAAATCTCTTGTTAGTCCTTAACTCAGTCTGCTGTGTGTGATTTTTCTCCTCTCCAGCAACAGCATGAGTTAAGGACGAGGCATTAGCCCTCGCTGTGATACCCCCACTGTCAGTTCAAGTCAGACTCTTCACGTTATTTATATGTTCCCTTTTGTAAGTGTATCGATTATACAACTGAGTTCTCAAGTGCTCAGGCACTTGATACAGCCACACAAAAGAGGAAAATGTCCAGGTTAGCATGGAATTACACATGTGCCGAGCATGCCAGGGGACAGGAATAAATAGTGACATGTACAGTTCAAAGCCACATCTTAAGAGCTTTCTGCTTTGTTGCACAGTGATTAAAAATAAAACCTGTATTTCAGTTTCCAAAGTGCAGGAAACCAAAGTTTGTCAGAGTTATTCTTAGCCATGGCAGAATTGCCACCTTCAGGCCACTTCTGAACACACCAGGTTATTCCATGATAATCCAAAATCCAGTGCAAGCTCCTCCCTCCCCTCTGTTCGTTTTACCCTTTGCATTATGAATGCTGTGGGTAAGGGCTGCCTGTTTCACAGGGGGCTTGGTATCACAGAAAGCTGGTTGTTGATCTCTGGGATGCCTGCAGGCCAGCAATCTGTGCTACAAGTTACCCCTCTTAAAAAAAAAAAAAAAAAAAAAAAAAAAAAAAAAAAAAAAAAAAAAAAAAAAAAAAAAAAAAAAAAAAAAAAAGACAAATGGATAAAACTGATACAAGCATCTGTAACAAGCTAATTGGACCCTTGTGGGTAACATAGCAGATACCAAATTAAAACAAACAAAACATCTCATTGTACAACTGAACTTCCAGGACCACTATCACAAAGGGATCCGTCTGGATTTTTATTTTAGTTTTGTTTTGTTTAAAAGGACCTAATTATGGCCAGAGCTGGAGTATCACAAGTCTGTTTTCATCTATAAAGAAAGGATATTTTACCTCTGAACCTGAGAAATTGTTAGAAGTTGGTAATTAGTATGACTTGTTAATAGAGTTTGGCTGTGATTAAGCTGTGATTGAGTGTGAGTTTGGTTCTTGTCAATGCGAATGCCTGTAAGGTTGAGAGATGTTTAATGAGACACCTGTTGTCAGCAGCACCCGGTGGGCTTTGTTGCGCCTGATTGGAATTTGTACGGCGGAGCAGGAGCTGCCGGAACAGCAGCAGGAACAGCCCCGGCTGGCGGATCCGCAACAGCAGGAAAGGGCCTGAGCCAAGCAGAGGGTCAGACCCACTGGGGTACATCCATCCAGATGCCAGGGCTGCCCCTTGGAGGCACCAGCTCTGCTCCCTTTGGCACGGCCGGAGCCGCTCTGGGATGCTCTGGGATGCTCCGGGGACGTGCTGTGTCCCACGGGTGGCGGTGTTTGAGGGGAGGCATCACCCACACCCCCAGCTGGGGAGTGCAACAGGCAAAAATACTGACATCTGAATTTAGTCACTAGGGGGTGTTGGCCTGTGCCACCGTGCAGTGGTGGGTCCTTGGGAGATGGCAAAAGCAGGATTAAGGCCCCCTCTGCCCCCACATCATGTCCAGCCTGGCAGCAGTCACAGAATCACAGAATGTGCTGAGCTGGAAGGGACCCACAAGGATCATCAAGTCCAACTTCTGGTCCTGCACAGGACCACACCCAAGAGTCACACCACGTGCCTGAGGGTATTGCTCTTTAAAATGTGACATTGATGGACAAAGAGTCTGCACAGGCCAGCCCTTGCTCATCCATCCCCTTGGGAATTTTCCTCAAGGAAAAATGTCCCACTGAGTGACTCAGTATCTCCTGGGCTTTGGATAGAGAAAGTTTCCTTCATAGATTGCATTTTTGTTTCAAGAATCAGCATAATTTTCCACATGACTCCATGTAACCACTCCCCGCACTAAAATCCAGGCCTGACGATAAATTTGTACTTACACTGATGCATAAAATATTATTTCCCCCAAAATGTCTATTAAACATTTTCAAGTGGCTTAAAATATACTTAAAACATATCTGGGTTTTACATGCCAAAAAGCCAAAAAAGCTGAAATCAATCGAGCTGGCCTCTGTCACAGTCTTCACAGTCTTGTAATGTGAAATGCCTGAGCTGGGAACAAGAACAGAAACATTTCAGCTCGTGGAATGTGCCTCGGGAAGGAGCCATTGGCTTTGTGATGGATCTGAGCAGCCACTGGATGGCATTGCTCTACACAAATGGACCTGCAGAGCAAGTGCTGAGCGAGTGTGGGCTGCTGTGCCAAGGAGATTAATTCAGCCCTGAGAGGCTCAGGCCACCCTGACCTTACCAATTCTTTAAATAACATTGAGAGTTCTCTTGGCTGCCTGGCTGGGAGCTCCGGGCACAGAGTTTGGCCAGAGCGAACAAAGCCGACATCCCGAAGCAAACCTATCACACCAGGCTGAGTGCATTTGCCTTTCATTTTATGTTAGATCAAATATTCATCCAGTTCTTGATGAGTTTCCTTCTCGTGAGAAGGGAAAAAGAATCATTTGTAACCTATGACTGTATCAAACCATTGCACCCGGGCAGTGAGCGATGACTTGACTGAAACTCAGATCCTGTGGATGTGCCGGGCAGGCAGCTCAGCTCCCCAGGCTCACGTGGTGCCACTTCAGCTCAGGCTGTTGAGATGAGCAGGTTATTTGTGTGTAGTGTGAAAAGCAAAGCTGAAGAAAAAAGAAAAACAATTGAGTGTGTGGCATCTTCTGCTCTGATGTTCAAGCCCAGATTATTATCCCACGTGCGGTGCTGCGCCATGTGACAGCAGCCTCTCAGCTCGGCTTTCTGCTGCATCACTTATTGATAAGGAATCAGCTGGTGGCCAAATAACCCATATTTTCCCGGTATCTGAACAGGAACACACTATTTGTGAGGGTCAGTTCACAGTCATAGCCAGCACATGTATCTTCAAATTAGGGTATAACCTCATGAGGTGAGTGCTTGTACATGGGCTGGGAGGTAAAGCTGTTCTGGGCACACACTGTCTATTAGTATTGCCCTGGGCTTGACCGGTCTAATAACTTTAATGACCACAGTCAATTAGTAACTCTAGTTACACTGGGATTAAAACTAGGTCATCAGTTCAAGCCCTGCAAAAGCCCTTACACTCACAGTTCTCAGTTCTGTACCCAAAGCCCTGCAACCAGCTGCCTTTTTAAGTACTGGAAAAGTAGAATGAGTAAATTGCTTTGTAAAATAAATGCTACATTTCTTTTATGATCCCATTTGTCTCCTTTTTCTGCACCTACCTCCTAATCCAAACAACAAGAGAACAGTATCCATCTTGATCTGCTCAGCAGTCCACTGGTAAATGCTTTCTGCTGTTAGAAATGCTGAGGCTCGGTAGGAAATTGAGGTTATATCAGCAGTGGGAAGCTCAGGTCCCAGTTCTGGTGGCCACAGCTCTGCTACAGTGGCTCCAACAGGAGACCAGGACAACTGGTGGTGATTAACTGCTTCATCTCTCCTATTAGGAACCGCTGATCGAGGTTTCTCATGTCACCCATGGGGAGACCTCTGTGAAGTAACACTAGTGGGCTCAGGGATCTCCATCTCTTTCCACTGACCTTAGAGGAAAAGGCAATTTGTTCCCAACTTCAGCACTCAGGGCTGTGTTGGAGCCCTGGTGGGATAAATCTGAATATCTGCATTTATTTAACAGTCAGAGAGCATAAAGACTAAAAAGTGGTGTGCTTCCTATTTCTCCTCCACTGCACTCTCTGGAAAAGATCCCCTTGGACCCAGCATTCATGGGATGGCAGAAATCCCGAGTGGGTGCCCACTGCTGTGCTGGCTGTTTTAAGGCATCAGTTCAGCACACAGTTTTGCCCTGGATCTTTCCAGAGTCAGGGCAGCACTCCAGACCTCCAAAAAGTCAAGGTGACCTCGGAACCTGCAGGGCAGTTCAGAATGCTGGCAAACAAAGGGAATTCAGAAAGAAAAAAAAAAAAAAAAAAAAAAATTCCAGACTCATTCTAACCCATTACAAAACTCTCAGGAAAAATGAACTGTATCCGCTGAAGTGTCTCGTTCTGTTTGGTGGCACAGTGTAACAGGGGATCTGTCACTGTCAGTGCTGCTCTTGTCTCGCTCGAAGCCATGGTGCCTTTCACAACCAGGAAATCAAAATTCCAGCCAGCTGTCCCACCTGCTGGAGCAGCTTCTATTCTGGGCTCCCATGTGCCATAGGTATTGTGCTTATTGATTAGCTGGGGCTTATTGTCCCTTGACATTGTTGGGGAATATTCTCCTGGTTATAATCACTAGAACTGATGCAGGCAGAACATTCCAAGCCTGGCTGCAGCAGCCCAGGAAGGGCTGTGCCAGCTTGTGGATACCTCTCCAGATCAGACTGCGATGGGATTGGCACAAAATGAAAAAAAAAAAAAAAAAAAAAACTAAAAAAAGGGGATTGTTTTGAGAAGTCACCGAAGTCAGAAAAGACTGGGGGCCTCCGTGACTCTGGCTGTCAATAAGGTGTTAGGTAGGGGAAGATTAACACCCTTTAGCAATGACACAGCTGTTCCATTGAAGGTGATAACATGCAATCAGGGGAGGGAAGAGTCTAGCACAGAATAATGAACAGAGCGAGCAAAGATTAGCAAAAGGGAAGGTTTTAGCCCAAGAAGCTGAAAAAGCCTCTTCAAGCTGATTATTTTAGTGGATATAAATAAGTATAAAAAGATCCAGAGCCTCACATTAGCCCTACACAACGAGCTCAAATATTTACCTCTCTTTTTAAAGTCAGTCTGGCTCTCAGGAAGAAGAAAAATAATGATGATGTAGAGAATAAACTCCCTTATCTGCCTTGGCAGTGAGCGTGCAGATAAACACAAAAATTCCTACCCTAAAGACAGCATGTAGCACTGAATCTCCTCCTCTGAAAACACAGCAAATTGTGATAAGAGTAGGTTTGTGAAGACAACAGGTTTAATAGTGGAAAGAACCCAGTATTTTGCCCACTCTTGTCTTCCACGGAAAGGAATCAGAACAATCAATT